AATGCAACTCATGTATTCAGATAACATGCTGATACCCAAGCTAGACCAGAATGCAACTCATGTATTCAGATAAGATACTGTATTCTCTTCTCACACAGTTTCAGTACTGACCCTTCTCAGTGTAGATGTCTTCTCAGCCTCATCTCTTTCTTCTTCTTTCCCCTCAACCAACAGCGAGAACTCTTCAGGATTAGATATTCCTGTTGCATGATTGTCAAACATTACTTACAAAGTACCATGATGATGGGTTTCCTGTGTTATACCAAAAACACAGGGTTCCCAAAACTAAATTTCATYGTATAACAGATTCAATGAGGGATGACTTTAAATGAGAAAAAATTTGCTTAGTTTTTCCATGGCGGAACTCACCCATTTTTGCACAAATTGTTTCAAGGATTTGTCCAGCTGTGTGGCTGTCATCAATCTGTAACAACAACAAAAACATAATGAAGGAAAGATAGAGGGAATCTAAATGGATGAAAGGATGGGATGGGATGGGTCAAATGGATGGAAAGATAGATGGGAATGGATGCATGGATAGATAGGATGCATGGATAGAAAGGATGCATGGATAGATAGGATGCATGGACGGATGGATGGGGCTGGTAAGATGGATGGATGGAAGAATGGGTGAATGGGATGGGATGGGAATGGATGGAATACAGTACCTGAAGAGTCTTGACATTACCATCCATAAATTTAATTCTAATAAGACGAATCTTTGTTTTGTATTCCACAGAATCCTGAAGGAAAATAATAAAAACCCATCAAGGCATTAGGGTACAGCTATTGAGCAATGAAATAAAAAAATTAGAAATGAGGATCTTCTGTGAGGTACCCTCCACACACACCACTACAACTATATGTATCTTTACAACAAGCAARCTCAACTCACATATGATTGAGTCTGAGCAGGGGCTGAACCCAGACCACAGCAGTGAAAGGCAAGTGGTAAACCACTATGCCATCCATGCCACAATTACCCCCTGCATAATCGACAATAACTAACATATTTTCTCTACTTACCCCATTCTTTAGGGGGTAGAAGTTAAGAGACCTTGCAGGTTCAAGCCATTTTCCTTTGGCCAGTTCCTCTGATGGAAGAAACAGCCCAAAATCTGCAGCTATAAGAACAAGAACACAAGACATGGGCGTGAGATGTAAAGGAACTGAGAATGAATCTATATATGGACCTCTTGCTTAGCAGGCAGCATACTAACCAACCAAGCCACACTTGCTCCTTAAAACAAGTGTGTGAGGTCACTGAGGATCAAACTATGGACCTCTTGCTTATAGCAGGCAGCACACTAACCAACCAAGCCACACTTGCTCCTTAAAACAAGTGTGTGAGGCCACTTAGAATCAATCTATATATGGACCTCTTGCTTAGCAAGCAACACACTAACCAACTAAACCACACTTGCTCCTTGAAACAAGATGGTATGAGGTCAGTGAGGATCAAATTATGCTTAGGAAGCCAAGGAAAATCTACCCAGGCCAAACAAAAAAATAAGTGTTTCCTGTTAAGCGACGAACCCTAATTTTCTTGCCAACCTTTGCCAACCCTAATATTTTTTCATTCCCAAATGCATGACAGGGTTCCCAGTAAGCTCATTTCCACTAATGTATTATTTTTCTCTTGCAACAGGAAACACACTTATTTTTTTGTTTGGCCGCAAGTGAAATTATTGTTTACCTTTCCCAGGAGAAGCATCAGGCACCTTGTCTCTAATTATTCTTAATGCTTCAGCAACAGTTGCCTCTGGATTGAACTACAATGAATCAAAGAAAAAACAGTCAATACCAGTAATAATGATGATGATGGGATGATAGTCGGTGGTGATGAATGAGATAACAATAACTATTATGTTGATGTTTTGTCATCATCATCATAACCACCATCATGATCAACATCAGTACCATGATCAGCATCATCATGTATCACCATCATCATCATCATGTATCATCACCATCATCATCTTCACCACCGTCATGATCAACAGCTGGTAAGAGCTGTAAGAGCATTTTCATCATCAATATCATCCTCATCATGTATCATCATCATCATCATATGTATCATCATCATTATCATCATCATGTATCATCAAAATCATCATTAACATAATCAGTGTTATCATCAATGTCATGAACAATATCAACATGCATCGACATCATGAATCATCAGACACTCAATAAACAAAGCAAGGAGGATCCAGCCAAAAATTTAAGGGGGGGGGGTCTAATTGAGTTTATGGGGGGCTAATAGAGTTTCTTCCGGTAACACAACAGAAAACAATATAAAAAAGCATCGTTTTTTTTCTGCTGAAGTGGGGCCTCCAGCCCCCGCCCCCCCCCCTGGATCCGCCCTTGCAAAGTGGAATTAATTACATCCATTTATCATTGAAATTACAAATGTTCTATCAATATACCTGAAGAGTCTTGACACTGTTGTTTTTTACAACTTGTATTTTCAATGACAGAGCCATTGCTCTTGGCTTCTTTTACACYGTAATAACCTAGAAAAAGCCGTAACAAATACTGTAAATCAATATTATGCTTCTCAAGAAAGAAACAGAGACTACATTTGAAAACAGGAAGTGAATCTTACACCCTTCAAGCATTAATTATACTCTTATGAACCCTGAATCAATTAACCTCTGGGCTGATCTAAGTCAGGGCAT